TGTTTTTGGATTTGACTTCTTAAATGTTGGGTTAATATAAACCCACCATCCCGTACGTTTAATTCTATTACTATTTAGCCAACGAGGTCTAGCCAATGAAAAAGGGTCTTGACTTACATATCAGTGGTTTCAGGTTTGAACTCCATGTAAGAAATCCATATCCCTTATAATTTAGATTATCGCTTATATTAAAAGAAAATATACTACTATTTAGTCTATATAAACATGTGTTAATTTTACCATATATATATATATATATTTAGTACAAGTAATAGTCTAAATTACAGGGGAGGAGGATTTCTCACACACACACACACACACACACACACAACTATGATGTCATGGAGGTTTGAACCTTAGACCTCTAGTCTGCAAGTCAAGGTCATTTTCCATTGGGCTAGACCCTGTTGGCAAAAAAATAGTAAATTTAGTGTGCGTGAAGAGACTCGAACCTTTTTACTATATTTAGTATATATAAACAAGTGAAATTACATTAATTGTGGTAAATACTATAGCTAGAGAGGTACTGTCCGCAGCTCTTTTTCTGAACTTAGTCGCCTAGTGGCAGGTGGGCGACTGTGTCCTAGAAACTTCATGTGTCGACGAAAGTGATTTGAATTGTCTTTGTGGCTTGTCTTGTTGTATTGTGTATGATCGCAATGGCATTATAAATATATTTATGTTATTTTGAAAATAAAGAGCTTATGATAATAAATATAATGTGGTCACTGCATGCGTTGTGGTGTCGTCCAAATCATATACCTTTTTCTTTTCTCTCTCTGTATTTTTCATCTCTTTGTTTGTTTGTCTCTCTGTTTGTTTGTATGTTTTTGTTTTTTTACAATCTTATTTTTGGGAAAAGATCTCGACTGCACATGTGGTTTCATAAGAATAAGAACAAATCATGGTCGTTGGTTTATGAAATTATGATACCCTAGACTAACTTGGTTGGTTTTTGCGTTGTCTCTGGTTAAAAAAGTGACATCTGTGTTTGGCTATGTCATCATCGTACGTCCAGTCATTTTTGTTTATTTTAATTTATTTTTCATAAAATAAAAGTGTTACAATTTTGTCATCCCAATTGGAGTGGGACTAATATTTGTAAGAGTGAAAGATGATTATTTTTTTCACGTTGAAGGTAAAAAGCCATACAAGAAAAAAGCTCAGTTCTAGTTGGGCTCAATTCGTAAGTGAAAAACATAACATTAGGGCTCAATTCGATTTTAAAAAAAAGTCTAAAACAGCACAAACCCATTATGTGGGCTGGTGATATTAGTTGTTTTTAGGGCAAACCCAAACCCATCTCAACCCCAGGGGTCCAGGGCCTTCAAGCTCACTAGGGTATGGCTCAATCTTTAATCAACATTTTGAAACGAGGGAATAGGGGACAGAAGAAATGAGTGCGGGATCAACTTTTCTGGTTTTTTCAGATATTGGAATACGAATTTTAATGTGAAAAAAAAAAAAAAAAAAAAACAATCCCCGCGAAAAAAGTACTTTTTCTTCTCTTTACAGCAAGGAGAAGTGGATAACATACTTGATAAGGTTCAAGTATGGGAAGAGTTCAATCTTAAAGAAGAGTAAAGAAGGTAGGGGCTTTGATCCTGAATTCATAGGCCAATTCTTTTGGGACTAGGTGTTGGTGCAAATCATGTCGAATTGTCAATCAATGGGTGACAGATTTAGAGATAAAAGTAGCTGGGGGATTGAGCTTGATTGCTTCATTGTAAACCATTCCATATTTTGAAAGTCCCCAACCAAAACAGAGCCTCTAGGCTTAGACAACCCTTTAACCCGTCTCTCTTTGATTTCAGAGGTTGGGATGGAACCTCAACTCTTCATGGTATTACAGTGGGTTTGCCATGTGTGAAAGCCCAACGGCCACGCATGCTACACGTCTCTATGCGTTGAGTTTCAAAATTCGCCACACATGCGGAGATGTATGAGAATGTAAATGTGAAAATATTGGACTTCTTCCCTCATTTCCCATTGATTTTGGGATGAAATTTCAACTTCCTTCATGTTTAAGCATCCATAACCGCGTTTTACCACAATAATTACTGTATTTCAATGCTTTATATTGCACCTAACGGGGTTGCGTTTTACCACGAAGGATCTTGTAACTCCCCTAAGAAAAATTAAAAGATGAAAATGACACAACATAATCAGCATACTGTGCATTGCTGTTACCAAGTAATAGCAGATACCAAAGCTAATAATAGATTTAGATCAATACATTTATTTGACATTAGAATAACCCAAGTCAAGCTAAGAATCCACATCTGACATGCACACGTCTCACCCAGTACATAGCTAAACTTGACATGACCTCATAATCTAGAACTATTTCATGGATTGACCTTCGACTCCCAGCCGGCAATAACATATTTCTCTTCAGTTTTGGTCTTCACAAAAGATTCCCTTGAGAAGAGCAGCTGCAATAGGAAACATAGATTATAATTAGAAAATCATAAGTGCACATTGTACATGCAGAGAGAGAGAGAGAGAGAGATTTCCATCTCCACTATTTGGACAACAGACTAAATGCACTTAACATTGATATTCTGTGTGAGTACTTGAGAGGTTCTTATACAAAGTTTACTGTACATCCACCAAAATAAAATTCGATTGATCTCGTACCATTCCACCAATGCCGGTCACAGGCAAGCCCTTACGAGGAATGTCAGTTACGATTCTTACAGAAAATAGCATTGCACTGAGAATGATGCAATGCATCAAAGTGCACAACCACAGACTCAGACACATGCCAGTGAACAAACTTTCCCAAAATTGCAGACTTCTCACACATAGGTGGTGTGCTGAAGGGAGAAGAGATTAGCACCACGTCTAATCTCATCGTGCCTGACTTCAGAAGCACAGTTTCTAGACAATTTGATTAACCACCAAACCTCAGTAAGCAGAACCACATCTTATTGCAATGTGATTAGACTGGCAAGCAATGATTGTCAAAACATAGAGAATATTGAGAGAAGAAAGTGGAAAGAGTAGAGAGAATGAGAGTTGTTGAATATTTTCTGATTTTCACTTATGTTCATTACTTACAATCAACACATATATATACAAGTTCCTAAGACATTAGTCAAGCCCCCCAAGTTAGGCAACCAACCAAGTTAGGCAACCAACCAAGTTAGGCAACCAA